ATGGAAAGAGCAATACCAGCACAGAGAGATGGGAAGAAACTTTCTCTTGTCTCTTTAATTTCATGGAATTCAGCTACCCTCCTAAATTTTACCAAATCTTTGCCCCTCTCTTATTTTTTCTTTTTTCCAATTTGTATTTTTTATTTCATTTTACATTGCAACCACAGTTCTCCTTTCCACACCTCCTTCCATCCCCCTCGCCTCCTCCCATCACCCCCTTCTTATTAAAGTTCCACGTAAGAGTGACTTTTCTGGAAGAGCGGAAAATGTGATTCTGTTGACTGCAATGGACGACCAAGTGACATCCTTACCTCAACACACAAGAAAATACATTGTCACAGTCCAATCCTATTGTGGGTTCTTCAAGGACAGGGACTCTTCTGTTTATATTTGTTGCATGTCATTTTCATAAGTCACAAGCTCCTTATGCTCAACACTAAACAACAAGCTAAACAAAGGTCTGCATATGCTCAGTACTTGCCTAGAAGACAACACAACACTAGAGATGGACGGAGTCCTTATAGATAATTAGTTGAAATGACTTCAGAATTCCCTGATTAGCCTTTTCCAACATCCTTGAATCTAGAAGATAGTAGACATCAAGTCTCAATGCACTTTTACTCTTAAAATACTGTTAGAACGGTCTATACTGTTGTGGAAGGCCCAATGTTAACAGAGCTTTGAGAAATCAACACCTGCCCACATTCGCTTACATGGGAAGAAACACTACCAGCCTAAGTGGATTTAAGAAGTGAGACTGACTCAGCACATGGAGGTTTCTGAAGAAATAATGAGAAATAATGCCCACAAGTCCTCTTTGTGTACCCGATCTCTGTAGGCAGAACTTTGTATCAACAACATAGGATTCAACTCTGTCTCACCAATTTGCCTCCAGCTGTGCCTCCTGCACATTCCTTGCCCTGTCTCTTCTAATTTGAGTGACCTTTATAAAAGGGCGTAGAGTGGTTGTCTTGCTCAATGCCTCCCCCTTCCTTTGTGCCACTAATCACATGCTGCCTTTTTTTTACTGTTCAAAAAGCTCTAGCATGCACTTAGCAAACCTTCAGCATCAAGTATCCCATTTTCTGAAGAAAAGGTGGTTGTTCCATTCTAGAAAGGCAGTGGCGTCTAAGGAGTGGTCCTCTTGCTCAGCACCACTGTCTAGCCTCTTACATGGCAGCTGTAAATTTCCCTCAAGTAAATAGAAGAGTTGGTGATTCACTGGTATGAGTATTGATTTGAGATCCATCAGTCTTCTGAGCTGTTCCAAAGCCCATCTTTTTCCTTCAATCCCTAAATGGCAATTATGGTAATAGTGATAAGTAGCTGAAATTAATCAGATGGAATAAATACCATACAGTCTTACCAGGGATTGTTTTTTATTGACCTTCATAAATTATCCCCGCTCCACAGATAAAAGAACTTGAACCTGAAGATGCATAAGTAACTTGCCCAAGAAATGTGCCAAGGTAATAAATGAGAGGGTCATTCAGGACTGAAGCTCATGTCCTGCATCAGTAAGTTGTACTGCTAGCAACTGATTGACACCGCTAAGCTCATGGTTATTGACTCAGTACTGGCCGTTCTGGACTCCACTAAGAAACCCTTCCACCTACAAGCATGCAGCATCAGTCAGTCTTCTGCCTGCTGTCTGCAAGGAGACGTTCATATTACAAACAGGCTACAGCAGCCACCAGGGTAGCAAATGCTGCAAGTGTCCATGACAACACACTTGGAAGCTTTCTTGGTGGGCCCTGACATGGTAACAAGCACTCATTTCTTTATTCCTTATGGGTCCGGAAAAATAAGCCTTTGCTAGCACTGTCTGTTATTAACTAGCTTTTAGGAAGGGCCAGCTCCACAGACATCTTGAAGGTATAGCCTTATAATATAGCCTTATAATGTATTTATTAATGCCAGCTAAAGGTCAAGCATGATTCTCATAGGATTTTAATAGAGTCTTTCTCAGCATTGCTTTGACCATAACTTATTTCTTTCACCAGTCTCTCTTCCCCTTTTCTTGGGAGAATCCACAACTGTTGTATAGTTCAGAGGAAATTGAAAGCTTGCCAAGAATTGCAAAAGCTACACCAAAAAGCTAGTTCATATGGTTTTTCAATCAGAAGAAAAAAAGGCATGTTTGGGGGGTGTCCAGAAAAGATTATTGATCTATGAGTGTTAAGTACGCAGCTGGGTCCATGGTTAAGGAACACGGGCTTGGGAAATTTTCAGGAAAGAGCACATGTGCATCGTGCTTCTGGTTTTCCTGAAGTCTGCGGCTGAAGATTTAAGGTGTGAGCCCTGTGCATGCAATTCTCAGTAACAGTCCCTATTCCAAAGGGACTAAGTAGGACAGCTCACACACAGACCCAGACGTGCCATTCTAATGCATTAGTAAAGACTAGATGTGGGGAGGGTCATGAGTCACAATGGAACACATGGAGATCGTATTAGAGATAGCCCCAGTCTGTGCAGAGAGTAGCGTTTATTAAATACCGACTATAGGTGCTGCTGGCTTAAATGAAAAGGCAAAGGTATCTGTTAAGCCACGGGAGTTGCGATCTGCTAGCTGATTCTCATTTGGAGAAAGCGGGCAGCTGGGCAGTGATTGAAGTGTCCAGCAGGGGGCTGGCATTCGCTGTCTATACATGGTCCTGGCTCCTCTTCAGAGCCTCAGCTCAGGAGAGCTGCCGTTTGCTGGGGAAGCCAGTGACGTGCAAAGCATCCTGCCTATAGGATTGGAGGCTTTCTTGGTGCTGTTTTTTTCTACCCACTTTAAACCTTCAGGTTCTACATAACAGGGAAGACGGGAAATGCTGTGTGAAAATAGCAATCCAAAAGTTCTTAGTAAACTGCAGCCAGAGGGACTCAGACTAGAATGGAGGTAGGAAGAGCTGGGACAGCTTGGGCTTAATCCTAAGCTTTTCTTCGGGCTGAGTTTCTGTTGCTTGTTAACTTAGGGCATTTGCAGATAGATGTATTGCTCACTGGTGGTGTGGAGGCTTGGGCAGAACCAACATCAACGTTCTGAGCTAGAGTTTGGAATACCAGTGTGTGTGTGCGTTCAGTGTTTTTATTAAAGGAAATCAAGAGCCCAGCACAGATCCTGTCTTCATCACCTAACTGCAAAACCAGAAGTTAAGAAACAGTATCCTAAAGGCACTTTTCAGAAGTCTTGAGATGGCTCTGAATAATTGTTCCCACCTGGACCTGGAAGTGGACCCTTTCCTGCATTGCAACAACACCTTCAATCAAAGTCTGAACCCCCCCAAGATGGACAACTGGTTCCACCCAGGAATCATTTATGTCATTCCTGCTGTTTATGGGGTTATCATCGTGATAGGCCTCATTGGCAATATCACCCTGATCAAGATCTTCTGTACAGTCAAGTCCATGCGAAACGTGCCAAACCTGTTCATCTCTAGCCTGGCTTTGGGAGACCTGCTGCTGCTGGTAACCTGTGCCCCTGTGGATGCCAGCAAGTACCTGGCTGACAGATGGCTATTTGGCAGGATGGGCTGCAAACTTATCCCCTTTATACAGCTTACCTCAGTGGGGGTGTCTGTCTTCACACTAACGGCACTGTCTGCAGACAGGTAAGTACTGACTGGAAGTTAATATCCTTTCTTAGGGTGGTGGACCACTCAGTGAATGACACAGGGGAGCTGTTTTCATGAAAGGGAAGTTTTACTCAAATTCAAACTCCCTTCCAGGAATGGTTTTGTTCTGGAAATACTTCTGGAGTTTAAGAAAAGAAAAATAAGTGAATGGTGGAGACAGGAAGAGAAGACTGAGAATTAAATCTCTAAGTCTGAGACAGAGGGGCATTTTTTTCCGAAGAAAACTCACTGTCTATCCTGTCTTCTACCTCCCTGAAAATTAATTGAGCAGTAAAAAGGACAATCACACCCCACAGTTTCAACCTCAAGCTAATGTTTCTTAGAAGCAATTCAGAACCTTTCAGAAAAGAGAGACATTCTCACTGCCCCTCCACAAAATCTTTGAGAAAGAAAAATAAGCTCTGTTTCTTGGAACTTGGTTTTCCTTGGACAGTCTTAACTTTTCTTACAGCTGATTTTTGGATGTGACCAAATAGAACAATTGTGTGTTGGGTTTTCTAAGTTTTCTTTCAATGAATTTAAACATGATTGTTTCCTTTGACCTGGCTAAGCAAGTGTTCAAGGTTGATTTCTAATTTGAATAGTTTTATTAATGTCCTTCTATGTTCAATGTCTTTGGGGCTTGGTGGAGGTGGGTACCCTCTTTATTCTGGAAAATATACATCTTTGTGAACTTTGATATATATATATGTATGTATGTATGTATGTATGTATGTATGTGTGTGTATGATTTTATATTAATACAATCTTAAAACTTGTTCTAACATATTTATCAAATATCCACCATGTTAAAAATAAAAACCCATGTTTGGATGAGGAAGTAAAGAAATATTTGCAGGATATTCACACACATTGCTGACCATATCTTATGTTCTGAAGACTGAACACAGAAATGATTAGACTATCAGATACAGCATATGCTAAATGGTTAAATTAAGGAAAACAGTTCCAATGGACCAGAGATTATAAGCTGTTATCTTAATTCAACTATATGGTATATGTTAAAGATACATGGGACCCGAGAGTATACTTGAAAAAGCATAGGCACAGTTCTTAAAAGTTTAGAATCTGAAGAAAATGGCCTACATCTTAACACATGTGTTGCTGAACTCTCTTTTTGTAAAGGAACAAACCGTCCTCAGGTGATCTGGCCTTGGTAAGTAATGTACAAATAAATATAGTGTTATCAGTATTTGTGGTCATGTGTTTATCCTAAGCTACTTAAAGTACACTGCCCAGTACAGATGATATTCTCAGAAACTGAAAAGTAATGATCCAGAAAGGGGGTATTGTGTGGACCACACAGTGTTTCTCCACTCACCCTCATCTTGCTTGCACCACGCCTTTTCACCCTCCAGGTACTAATGACCACAGACACTTTTCTGTGTTCATTCAGGGCCAGCAAATTTTGGAGCTGGCAAAAGCTCCATGGCTGGTCCCAACTGGTGGAGGGCACGTCAGGCTGAGCATAATTTTCTTGATGGGAAGAAGAGATTTGGGTTTCCGGGCTGGTGAATGCAGTGGTCCAGATGGTGTTTACTGTCTCCTCGGGGAGGCGAACAGAGTGGAAAGGGAGGGCATGGAATGGAAAACTGCAGCTGCAGGGACCCTCTTCCCAGAGTTTCAGAGCAGACTGAACTCGCCATCAGCAGTCAGGGAAAGCTCTGTGCAAAGCTGAGTTGAATGCCACCACAGCTGCAGTGTGTCCTCACTAACTTTTTGTATTTGGCTGTGCCTTGCAAAGGCTGATGGGTCACTGGAATTACAGGTGGTGCATGGCACTCACTTCCTTCAACAAGAACAGGAATTATGTTTGAAGATAACAAAAAGCTGTACTTTTCTTTTTATCTTCTGTTTGAAAACTACGAGATTCTTACAGCAGCCTTATGGACTTGGCAATGTACATGTGAATTCTATGCTTTTCATTGTGTCATCTATGAATACAGTAAAGAGAGTAAGTTAACAGCTCAGTATTTTCCATGTGTCTATGTAACTGTGTAGCCACTGCCAGGTTGAGATATTAAGGAGTTGCAGTACCTTACCCATTTCTAGTTAATGTTTCTACAGAGAAGCAATTGTTACTTTGATTTCATTCACCCAATATTACTTATTGCATTCACATGGAATCATACAATGAACACAGCTTGTCTACCTTCTTATGTTTGGTATAGTTCCATGTTATTCATCCACATTGGTGTATTTAGTCATGTTTTCTGATTATGTGCAGGGCCCCATTGAGAGAAAAGACCTCAGTTATCCTGATCAACATTGATGAACATGGGCTGAGAAACTTTTCTGGGTATTCTAATTTTTTTGAGAATGCCATACAATGTATTTTGATCATATTAGTTGCCCTTCCTCAACCCCTCCAAGATCCTAACACCTCCCTACCCACCCAACTTCATGTTCTTCTCTTTGAAAACAAAAGAACAAACCAACAAGCAAACACACACACACACACACACACACACACACACACACACGCACAAAATAAGCATGGGGTCCATTTTGTGTTGGCCAACTGCTCCTGACTGAGCATGGGCCCTGCACTGGAGTGTGGTTGATATACCAAGTACCACTCCATTGAAGAAAACCGACTTTTCCCTGTTTCAACAGCTACCAATTGCAGACAGCTTCTTGCTTAGAGATGGGACTTCATATCTCTTTGTTGGCATAAGAATTTATTTCTTTCGGTGTATGTACAAATCTGAGATACTAAGTTATGAGTGCATATATTTAGTGAATATTGGCAGTTTCCAAGTTAGTCTCCAGATTTGATAGCTTGGTCAAAGGGCCAACCAAGCTGTCGAGTGTGGATGAGCATCATAACCAACCTGGACTTTGGAACCCTACAGAAGCCCAGGTTCCACTTGAAGCCACTGAAACAATGTTTCAGACATGGGAGTGGGACTCAAAACAGTAGTCATCCGTGCCTACCCACCATAGGTTGGCAGCAATGTCAGTGCTCATCACAAACACCCTTCTGCTGCCTTCTCTATCCCCAGGTGAGCTTGAGTCTTTGTTACTAAGAAAAGAACATTTTTCTAGAAAACTTTATACCACTGTCACCATCCCCAAAGGGAGGTTTCAAGATAGTCTCGGTGAATGCAATCCTAGGATTACCACAGCTGAACAATTTCAGGTTCACATTCAAGCCCCTTCAATTTTGGCCCCTGTCTTCTCTCTCCATTTGGACTCTCTGCCTCCACACATACACTGATGTCTGATGTCCTCATACATGGTATTTCATGGTCCCATCCCCCATTCTTGCTGAATCAACTCTTCAAAGCACTTCCTCCTTCCACAAGTATATGGTTCCATTCCTTGTCCCCATGGCATAGGCTTGGTGGGCATCAGCAGGCCTGAATTTTAGACATTTATCTGCTACTACTATCCATATGGGGGAGTTAGGCCAATTACTTAACTAACTCTCTGGCCTTGGTTTAATTACCTGTAAAACGGCAGAGTTGAGCTAAATTGTTTTGTTTTAAGAGGGGGAGGAGAGAGATGTGCAAGCATGTGTGTGAAGGCCAATGGCCAACCTCAGGTGTTATCCCTCAGGAACAGTCCATCTTTTATTTTTTGAGACAGAGTCTCTCACTGGCTTAGAATTTACCAGGTAAGCTAGGATGCTTGACCAACAAGCCTGAGGGATCTTCCTGTCTTTCTCAGCATTGGGAAGCTCTATAAAACCCATATTCTCTATAACACCCAGGGTTCATTCTGCTTATAAGAGTTGAAGAACTACAGTTTGGTTGATATTTGAGTAGTGAGTGCATAATCCCTTCAAGCAGCTAGCAGAAGAAGCAGGAATTTTTCAAGTTCCAACCCTTGTTTGACAGAAACCAAAACATGTGATGGGATTTAGCCTTCGGGACAAACTTTGAGGAAAGTGAAACTAAAGCCTTACTCTCCTCACAAAGGAGACACAAATTCTTTAGCAAAACTAGACACTTTAGCAACAATCAAAATAGTTTGATTCCATTTCCCTTCTCCTGACATTGGGAGCTACAGGCTCAAAATCGGACTGTTCTAAAAGGCGCTGCTGAGTGAGCCAAGGCAGAAGGGGCCCTCTCCCTGGTCACTTCAATGGTTCTCCAGCTATCATGCCTAGCTTCTGGGATTCTGAAGAGATCGATCACTTTCTCACAAAAGAAGACAATTTAGTTTATTACAAAGCATCCTTCCAAAAAGTCCCTCGGTTAAAGGAGGTTGGGTGGGCTGCCAGTTCTAAGTTCTATATAGTTTGGTTTTCAGAGGCATATGCTGCCATTCTAGAAGAAAGCATAACCTGTGTCTTCCCACAGCCACAGCGAGCCAGCCCTGCAGCCAGGAGGTTTGGGAAAGGGCAGAGGCCAGGTGCTAGGGAAGTGGGCTTTCTCAGCCAGGCACTCTCTCAACTGCAAAGAGGTGGAGGAGGAGAGAGAGGAGAGCAGCAAGAACCTTCATCTTGTCTCTCACATATTATCTTTTCAAGTGTCAGGCTTTTATGTGATTAATTAAGTATCATTTCTGGCAACTTAATATGCATGAAGGCAAAAAAAAAGCACAAACTTCATCATGAAACACGCAGTGTTTCACGAAAGGGCTCCCTGGCGAGGTTTTTTGAACTGTGCCTGTCAATAACATCCTTTAAAAATAGACCGAATTTGCATTCTTGCACTTATAAATCTTCCTGGTGTGTGGGGTTGCATAAATTCCCTCTTAATTAAAACACATGCTTTCAGAATAAAACAGAAAACGGAAGGTTTCCTCTTTTTCACCTCTGAGTAAAAACAAACAGGGATATCCAAGAGGTATCTTTTACACAGTAGTCTCCTCTAAGAGACCTTCCTTGGCCACTCAGTCTAACAGACTGGCCAATGCCATCCTATCAACCAGTTTATTTCTTTTTCAGGTTTATTGTAATGTAAGTTGTATATAGTAAGTTCAGAAGGGGACCTGTCTATGAACCTTGACACTTTCCACTGCCACCA